GTGTCATAACGTTGTTTCATCTGTTGCTGTGCCGCTCCAACATAGGCTTGCCTTGCTGCAGCAGGCTTGTTCTTTTGTTTTGGGCAGAGGCAGTCCATCGGTCTGCCCATCTGAAAAGCTGTAGAGGCTTGTGTCCAGAGCCCTGTGTGGCAGATGGAAAGCAACCGAATTCCGTCAATTCTTATTATACACCTGCCCTGTCGTGTTGCAAGACATCCTTTCCTCCTCCCACTACAGCAACTTCTTGACTCTTTCCATCGCCATGTACTTGATGCTCTGCCCTGCCTTGTGCTGTTGCTACTGTGACTATGCAGATGACCTCATGAAACACTTCCTCAGTGAGTTTGAGAATTTGTATGGCATTGAAGAGTTGGTCTACAATGTCCATAATCTGACTCATTTGGCAGAGGATGTGAGGAGGTTTGGGTCCTTATAGTGTCAGCTTTTCCTTTTGAAAACTATATGAGAAAGTTGAAGAAAGTCTACCGGAAACCGCAATTTGTTCTCAAACAATTGTATCACCAAATTACTCGAGAACGTTCCCATCCAAAAAGACAAAGAGAATCTCACAAATATTTTCACATTCTTTCGAGCACATAGCCATCTGTGATTTAAATGTTTGCAACTGTTTCAACTCCATCTCCGACTTTGGCCTGAAATGGTCATTATGTATAATATCAACGTGTCGCCAGGGGAACCTTGTCGGCTATAGTAAGCATGGCACATGCTGCTTATATTTGGGGGGATGAGTTTATCGTAGCAGAAACCACATTTTACACTATCTCCTACTAGACACCCGTAGCTTTCTCGTGATATATGGCGATCCTATGATCTGACCCCTGCAATATGTCTGCATACTCTAGTGTCTTCAACAGGACCTGTCAACGGGTCCGCAGAGTCTGGTCATCATCATATTGCATACCATACCCAGTTCACTGTTACAAATTTGCATTTTTTTCAGATGCAGTCAGGAAAAGCCCTATCCAACCCAGGCCTCAAGATGCAACAGTTGAAGGGGAGATCAAGATCTGGTTAAGGAACTCACGTGACCGTGCAGGTGGACGCAAGGAGCGGTTTGAAAGACATCTGAGGCAACAGACAAGACTTTGGGGAAGAGTGAGCTCAATAAATGTGCTATGTGAGAGCTGACTGGTAGAGGTGAGTTGACATTAAACTTGGGTCTGGCAACCAAACGTTTAGACTTGAACCTCAAGGACTAGGCTGATACTGGGCTGTTACGTATCTGTACACGGTCAGCCTCTGCGACAAAGTAGTTCCAGTGTTCTCTCTCTCCACCTTCCGTCCCTACTCTTTCTCCTGTGTGACCTCTACTGTGTAGCAACATCTCAGATTTGCTTGTGCTCTCTTTCACCCATCTTGTCTGAGTGTGTAGTTAGCTCCTCCCATTAGTCTCTCAGTCCGTTAGAGTGCAGGTGAGTGAAGGGCCACCTCACTGACAACTCTGCAGTGAGCCCCACACAGTCACCCACTTGAACTATACCCTCTGTTAGTGTGAGACAAGTATTTTTTGGGGTATAGGATAGTGAGTGAATGTGGGGTTGGTAGTTTTACAATTTAGAATTGGTAGTAAAAAAGTACAAAAATAGAACAGTGACTGTATGGCAGTTATTGTGAAGTAGCTACTGTGGTGGTATGGTGGTTTTTCCAACAATCATTATTTACCTTTCTACTACAGTACCAATTCAAAATTGACTGCAAACCCCACACTCACTGACCATCAAACCTGACCTCACAATCGGGTTTGTAACACATGTTAAACTGTGTCCCTCAATTTCGTATCATATTTTGCATGGGCAACAGGTGGAGGTAAACCTGCACATTCCGTGTAATATTTTATGATTTATGGTCTGTAGATGGCAAATAACTTGGTTTCGAAAAAAAACATTCTGTGCATATTTCCAATAGTATATTCATATTTTATTTTCATATAGGATTAGTGTATATAGAGTATTGTAAATATCATATGCACGTTCATATTTAAGTGCAGGAATGTTTTTCCGAAACCAAGTTTAGCACCATCTGTGGACCATGTGTCGTAAAATATTACACAAATATGATACAAAATTGAGGGACATAGATTAACGTACACTATGTTACGAACCCGATTGTGAGGTCAGGTTGGGCTATGCTATACCCTAAAAGAGACTCTAACAGAGGGTATAGTTCAAGTAGGTGACACTGGTGCTCTGTATAAGAGCGTCTGCTAAATGACTAAAATGTAAATGTAAGGTGGCCCTTCATCACTCCAACTCACCTGCACTCTAACGGACTGAGAGAGACTCCAATGGGAGGAGCTAACTACACACTCAGACAAGACTGGTGAAAGAGAGCAGTAGGGGCGGAAACCTGGAGAGAACACTGGAACTACTTTGTCTCGGAGGCTGTCTGTGTACAGATACGTAACAGCCCAGTATCAGCCTAGTCCTTGAGGTTCACGTCTAAACGTTTGGTTGCTGAACCCAAGGTCAAAATGGGAATTGTTTACATTTTAGCCCCACAGTCAACCTCCGCTTTTTCTGACGTGAACACAGCCATGGGAACTGTCTGTCAGCTCTCACAGCTGCTGGACAGAGTATACATTCCAATCATGCGTTCTGTATACTCTGTCCAGCAGCTGATGTGTTTGCAATTGTCTGTGGTGTGTCTCTGTATATTTAAACCATGAAATGTTCATGTTATGTTAATGAAATGTCAATATTGTGCATGTTGAAGTTGTAATCTCAATTTGAAAGCAGACTTTCTTAATTAATATTTTATTGTACTTTTAAGCTAAAGACTCAAGTCTTATCTACTTAAATACTCAGAATGTTATACTTGTTATTTCTCTGAAAAACTATTGTATATTTATATTCATTTTATTATATTAGCCAATTGTTAGAAAATCTTGCCCTTTTAATTGTATTGTATTTACTGGATATTGACCTAAGACTCCATTCAGACCCTGAGGTACTTAACTGTTATTTAATATTGACAATAAAATATATTGAATTTGAACATGTTGTGGTATTTAATTTATGTTTATGACATTTTTGGGACTTAAAATATATATTTTATACCTGCAGAATTAACAGGTTTACTGCAGCTGTTTGGGTAGAATGCGGGTAATATTTGGGAATTTCTCACTAGGCCATCAAACTTCCATTTGGACTGTAATGGGCCCAACGAGGGAAGGCCTAATAGCATAAGGGCTTCTTGTGGGCTGGTACTGGGCTGCCAACACTTACTTGGGGCTGAATAAGGGCTGCCAGCAATTAGGGGCCAACTATTGGCCCATGAGCAAAAACCCATGGGCCCAGTGCATGTAGCCCAAGGCCGACCTTTTATTACTGCCCAAAGTGGACCCCTATGGTGCCAACCTGGGTATGTTTGCTGGGATATCTACCTCAAATACTCCAGTATCCCTGCACATTCTAAATTTGTGAATATAGCTTCCTCTTTTCTTTTTTTATTTCTCCTGTTTTGAAATTTGTAGTTATTCAGTGCTTAATTTGAGCCGGATCAGACTGTTTTGTTCCGGAACCTATTTGACCAGATCCGGTACCTCTCATGGCATGAAAAATAATTGTCACTTTTTGCAATATAAAAATTATAATAAATGCGATCAAAGTTCATTCGAGTTGCAATCTCCTGCACCCACAAAAAAAACGAAATGTGAAACTAGATTTTCAGCCCGGGCCTAATATTCTAAGAGTTAATTTTGGTTGGGCCAGCAGGGTTTATGGTTTGCGCAACATTGTAACATATGTTTGAGACCAACGCGTGGCAGTGGCTGTGTGAGAAGCGCGCCAGTATGTCTCACATAACTAGACTGAGATTTTCTATGATCTCTCTCCCTGTCTCTACTCTGATAGCCATGAGCCTGCAACTCTCATCTCTCCAGCGTTGCACTTCCTAATTTATTTCCTTATAGAATCATAGCCACGCAAAGGGTTCTGAATGAACTGAAATACATTTGCCAAAGTTATAGAATTACTGCTGTCTGTTCAGAAATACATGAAATCATTCAGAATAGCATTCTGCACCATGAGAAGGCCTATAATTTAGCGACAGAGGATCAATAGCTGTGGATTGTAGCCTAATATCAAGGGATAGCCTACTGTCGGGAACGCGCGGAAAATCTGTCAGTTAAAAAACAGCATGCAGACAAAACAGGCCTTTCACAATATTTCAAATACAATCGAGTGAAAACACAGGTTGGAAAGAAAATGGCTCCTGGTGAAAAGAGAAGACTGCTGTAGACTACCCAAATATTTGATCAACTTCCAAATATTGTTTTACAAAAGAGAGAAAGAGGCTTTTGCCACGAGCGCATCGGCCATCACCAGCGAGTGAGCTGCACATCATTGGGTGAGTCAGTAATACTGGAAAGCATTTTTAGGACTATAATTTCCTCCTCATATTGTAGCCTACAATATGTGTCTCCACGCACCTAGTCCTAGGCTATTGATGGATTCAAGACAAGGTCGTTTTTATTGATCTCAGATTCTGTTTGTCAGTGTCAAAGTAGCCTGCCATTTCGATCATTTGTGTGGTATTAAAAAAGATTCTGCCAAAGTCTCCAGTCATGGAAAATGAAGTAGAATTGCATGAAATGCGTTTATAAAAGACTACTTAAAGTTCCCCATGTGTGCAACTTCGATAAGTGCCTCTATGCCACTACGCAAATGCGATTATATGTATGCAATGCTTTATTATAAAGGTGTTTTTTTTGCTCATGCGTTCCGGTACCTCAGAACTCCCCAGGTCACCCCACTCTCGCTCTCACTTTTTGTTCCGGCACATCCCGATTTACTAATTAAGCACTGGTTATACTATTTTTAATTGAATACTGCACTGTTGGGTAGGGTTGCAAGTTAAACATTTCACTGTACTTGTGCATGTGACAAATAAAACTTGAAACTGAAATGTGTATGTCCGTTCACCAGAGGGAGCCATACATATCATAAACTCCATTGGTCGTGACGTCAATTTCTACGGGCCGGAAGGAGAAATTGTAGTTGTTCCCCTCATTGCTACTGAGTGACACAGGCAAATCTACCAATATTTCGTCTGAAAGCCAAAGTAAACGAATCCACACAGTGCTACAACAGCAGTGGACGTTTGGAGTGAGTATATGTGGTGTTATTATGTAAGAATTTATGTTAGTAAATATGTTTTATCGAATCTACATGTGAATACGCAGGTATACTCAACGGTGCGTCCGAAAGCTTGGGGGTCCTGTTTTGTTGATGGGCGAATGCCAAATCAAAGCGCTAATCTTGTATGTTTACAAATACTTTCGACTGTCGAGTCAATCATGATGTATTCAGCAAACGAATTAATGTTACGCTGTAGCCGACTTGACACAACTCAGTATTCCCCTCACTCGTTGTTTTGCTGCCATCAGAAGGTTGGTGGTTTTGGGCAATAATAGTGTGTGATTGCATGTGCATGTGGGCATTCCTGCATCTGCATGAAGCCCCCCCCCCCCCCCCCCCCCCCCCCCCTCGATCTGGAATCCCCCCCCTTCAATCTGGAATCCCATTGGTTTCTGCATGAACGCCCCCCCCCCCCCCCCCCGAGCACGACATCTTCATGCTTGTGATAATTTTGAATGTAGATCAAAAGGGAAATAAAAGTATTATAAGAGCCCCACTCTGCTGTGTGCCGGAGTCCTTAGCTATCACACAGTGTTGCCCCGCCTGCTGTGAACCGGAGTCCTCCTTACTAGCTAGTGGGAGTGACACCGGTAGACAGTGTCCTTCACTCCAACCTGCCCTCACCGTCGTTAACAGAGCTGCCGGAAAACAGTGCCCGACAGGCGAGGCTGAAAGACACTGTCTACCGGTGTCGCCCCCGCCTCCTGCAAGCTACTCATATACACAGCAGACGGGGGCAACGCTGTGTGCTAACTAACTATCTTGCTGTGTACCGGAGTCCTCCTAGTACTAGCTAGCTAGCACATAGTGTCCTTCGCTCCCGCCTGCCGAACACCTGCCCTCGCCGTTGTTAACAGAACTGCGGGAAAACAGTCCTCGACAGGCAGGGGCGAAGGACACTGTCTACCGTTGTCGCCTTCGCCTCTTCTTCTGTGGCGTTTATCGGCGGTTGGCATCCAACGTTATGGTACCTACTGCACTGGAGCGCGCCTGCCTGTCCTAATTGAAAAATGGACCAATAGTAGTATAAAATAAGTATATAAGTATTTTTAAAAATTATTTAAAAAATAGAAATGTGTAAAGTGGTTGGCCCACTGGCTATCATAAAGTGAATGCACCAATTTGTAAGTCGCTCTGGATAAGAGCATCTGCTAAATGACGTAAATGTAAATAAAGAGGTGTTCCTGCAGATGCAGGCCGCAATTGCTTTGCGTGGGTAAGCGCTGGCGCCTGTTTCACATACTTGATGCAGCATTCTCAATCTGCTCTTTGGTTTTAGATTTGGACAGACTATTCCCTAAACTGACACGATGGTGAGTGACGAGTGATTATTTTTTGGGTTCATTCTGTGTTTAAGTTTGATTTATTTATTGTCATATTTTAATCATTACTGGATATCAGTGCAGTGTGCTAATTGAGTATCTTCCTGTCTCTCTTTCTCACAGCATGGACGGATAAAGCTGAAGTCCACCGCCCAGCAGGAGGAAGAGAAGAGAAACGAGAGAGAGAAGAAACTCAAGATCTATGTGGCAGCCCGAGATGCCATCTTTACTAAGGTCTGTTTGACAGAGACGCATTCAGTCAAAATCAGTTGCTTGGATGGGAAGACAGAGCTGTGCAGTAACTTTGAAGATCACATTTTATCACTTCCCTTTTCTTTTTCTCTTGTTGGTTTTAGAGGATGGAGGGTATGTTCGATGATGAGGCCCTTCAGTTGACCCAGCAGCTGCTCTCCTCCAATCCTGATTTTGCCACTCTCTGGAACTATAGGAGAGAGATCCTGTTGCACCTGGAGACTGTACGGTGAGGACACAACAACTCTTATAATGCATTTTGCCCATGGTGGCACAGCTGAGTCTCTTGTAGCTATTATTATCTGAAAGTACCAATACCTGTTCATTATGTAAGTGCATCTAACTCACTACAAGTAATGTCTTAACCTTTTCTCTGTATCAGTGAGGAGGATAATGTGCAGAAGATGTATGAGGCTGAGTTGTTGTTTCTGGAGTCGTGTCTGAAGGTGAACCCCAAGTCGTACGGCAGCTGGCACCACCGAGGCTGGGTTTCAGCCCGCCTGCCCAGACCTGACTGGGCCAGAGAACTGGGCCTGTGTGACCGGTGCCTCAGTCTGGACGACCGCAACTGTGAGTCAGAGGGTAGGAGGAGGATAGTGAGGGAGGAGAGGAGTTGGGGAGGGGATACAGTTTAGATGGAGGGTGGGTGGAGAGATGGATGGAAGGGAGCTTGAAAGGGACAAGAGATAGAAATGGATGTGGCAGAGGATCAAAAATATGTTTTGACCATTCATACTTAATTTTTCTTATATTCAATTTCCCCTCTCCTCGTCTTTCTCAGTTCATTGCTGGGATTATCGCCGGATGGTGGTGAAGATGTCTGGTGTGCCTGTGGACCAGGAGCTGCAGTTCACTGACCGTCTCATCGGCTCCAACTTCTCCAATTACTCCAGTTGGCACTACCGGAGCACCCTCCTTCCCCTACTCCACCCTGAGTCCCCCGAGCCCCCCTCGCCCTGCCGCCAGCCCCCCCACTCCTCCCCTCCACCCTCCCCTCAGACACACTCTCATCGCGTCTGTGAAGAGCAGCTGCTCAAAGGTACGGACAACACCATGACCAGGCAGAGAGACAAACGCATATACACTGCTCAAAAAAATAAAGGGAACACTTAAACAACATCCTAGATCTGAATGATTTAAATAATCAACGCATGGAGGTCTGGGTTTGGAGTCACCCTCAAAATTAAAGTGGAAAACCACACTACAGGCTGATCCAACTTTGATGTAATGTCCTTAAAACAAGTCAAAATGAGGCTCTGTAGTGTGTGTGGCCTCCACGTGCCTGTATGACCTCCCTATAACGCCTGGGCATGCTCCTGATGAGGTGGCGAATGGTCTCCTGAGGGATCTCCTCCCAGACCTGGATTAAAGCATCCGCCAACTCCTGGACAGTCTGTGGTGCAACGTGGCGTTGGTGGATGGAGCGAGACATGATGTCCCAGATGTGCTCAATTGGATTCAGGTCTGGGGAACGGCCGGGCCAGTCCATAGCATCAATGCCTTCCTCTTGCAGGAACTGCTGACACACTCCAGCCACATGAGGTCTAGCATTGTCTTGCATTAGGAGGAACCCAGGGCCAACCGCACCAGCATATGGTCTCACAAGGGGTCTGAGGATCTCATCTCGGTACCTAATGGCAGTCAGGCTACCTCTGGCGAGCACATGGAGGGCTGTGCGGCCCCCCAAAGAAATCCCCCCCCCTCACCATGACTGACCCACCGCCAAACCGGTCATGCTGGAGGATGTTGCAGGCAGCAGAACGTTCTCCACGGTGTCTCCAGACTCTGTCACGTCTGTCACATGTGCTCAGTGGGAACCTGCTTTCATCTGTGAAGAGCACAGGGCGCCAGTGGCGAATTTGCCAATCTTGGTGTTCTCTGGCAAATGCCAAACGTCCTGCACGGTGTTGGGCTGTAAGCACAACCCCCACCTGTGGACGTCGGGCCCTCATACCACCCTCATGGAGTCTGTTTCTGACCGTTTGAGCAGACACATGCACATTTGTGGCCTGCTGGAGGTCATTTTGCAGGGCTCTGGCAGTGCTCCTCCTGCTCCTCCTTGCACAAAGGCGGAGGTAGCGGTCCTGCTGCTGGGTTGTTGCCCTCCTACGGCCTCCTCCACGTCTCCTGATGTACTGGCCTGTCTCCTGGTAGCGCCTCCATGCTCTGGACACTACGCTGACAGACACAGCAAACCTTCTTGCCACAGCTCGCATTGATGTGCCATCCTGGATGAGCTGCACTACCTGAGCCACTTGTGTGGGTTGTAGACTCCGTCTCATGCTACCACTAGAGTGAAAGCACCGCCAGCATTCAAAAGTGACCAAAACATCAGCCAGGAAGCATAGGAACTGAGAAGTGGTCTGTGGTCACCACCTGCAGAACCACTTCTTTATTGGGGGTGTCTTGCTAATTGCCTATAATTTCCACCTGTTGTCTATTCCATTTGCACAACAGCATGTGAAATTTATTGTCAATCAGTGTTGCTTCCTAAGTGGACAGTTTGATTTCACAGAAGTGTGATTGACTTGGAGTTACAATGTGTTGTTTAAGTGTTCCCTTTATTTTTTTGAGCAGTGTATATACTGTCAGTGGAATACAGTTGTGTAATACTTTAAACAGGCAGGCAGAGGGCACTGTCACAAGGAATACTATGGGTTGGATGGAAGGCAGAATGAGGAGTTGATGTGGGGTGGCTGTCTGTGTTATCGACATACGTTGCTTAACCCCTTTGTTTTGTTTTTTTCAGAGTATGAGCTCGTACAGAATGCCTTCTTCACTGACCCCAATGACCAGAGTGCCTGGTTCTACTACAGGTGGTTGCTAGGCAGAGGTGTGTGTGTAAAATTTTATATTTTCTATATAAATTGTCTTGATTATCTTCCATCAGTGAGCAGTATGTGAGCTCTGTTTCTCTGCTTTTCTCAGCGGAGCGAGAGGAGATGATAAGCTGTGTGTTTGTCAGCCGTGAGGAGGAGAGAGTGGCTGTGGCCTTCTCCAGACCTGTCAACGTGAGTACTCCAACAATTACCCTCAAAGTAGACACCTCTTACTGTAAAGTGTATGTCCTCTGCTCCTTCTACAGTTAAACTCCATTCCTCCCTGACTCTCTCCTCTCAGGCTTCATCTAGTGGTCTGATGCTGGTGTTGGATGGTCAGCCCCAGCGTGTGGAATGGAGGAGTGTCCATCCTCACTTCAGACACAGCCCTGTCTGGGTATCCTTTCCTTCACTGTACAAGGTCAAGGGTAAAATGTGAATGATAGGGCATAATTTTGATTTCTGCCAAAAATAGACATACCCAACCATAATTATGTACTCATTTTTGAGGACACAAGCTCAAGTACATAGTACAAATATTATGAAAATATGAAAAATCATATGATTTGTTCCCTATTCAACAAAAGTGGGGCAATATGGCTTGAAATGACTGAAATGCTTTCTAAATATAGTAAGAATCAAATTATAAACAACTTACTATAAGATTTCACATTTCTTATAATTGTAAAATAAATATGATAATACTTAGTGACAGTACAATATTGGCACTATTTCATATAACTGATGACAGAATTTTCCTAAACGTCTACTGAGCAGCGTAGACAGCATACATTTTTTCGATATACAGTACCAGTAAAAGGTTTGGACACCTACTCGTTCAAGGGGTTTTCTTTATTTTTACTATTTTCTAAATTGTAGAATAATAGTGAAGACATCAAAACTATAACAGCTTTGCACACTCTTGGCATTCTCTCAACTCAAGCTTAACCTGGAATGCTTTTCCAACAGTCTTGAAGGAGTTCCCACATATGCTTAGCACTTGTTGGCTGCTTTTCCTTCACTCTGCTGTCCGACTCATCCCAAACCATCTCAATTGGGTTGAGGTCGGGTGATTGTGGAGGCCAGGTCATCTGATGCAGCACTCCATCACTCTCCTTCTTGGTAAAATAGCCCTTACACAGCCTGGAGGTGTGTTGGGTCATTGTCCTGTTGAAAAACAAATGATAGTCCCACTAAGCCCAAACCAGATGGGATGGCGTATCGCTGCAGAATGCTGTGGTAGCCATGCTAGTTAAGTGTGCCTTGAATTCTAAATAAATCACAGACAAATCAATTTTTATTTTATTTGTCACATACACGTGTTTAGCAGATGTTATTGCGGGTGTAGCGAAATGCTTGTGTCACCAGCAAAGCTCCCCACACCATAACACCTCCTCCTCCATGCTTTACGGTGGGAACTACACAGGCGGAGATCATCCGTTCACCCACCGCGTCTTACAAAGACACAGCGGTTGGAACCAAAAACCTCAAATTTGGACTCATCAGACCAAAGGACACATTTCCACCGGTCTAATGTCCATTGCTCGTGTTTCTTGGCCCAAACAGGTCTCTTCTTCTTATTGGTGTCCTTTAGTAGTGGTTTCTTTGCAGCAATTCGACCATGAAGGCCTGATTCACAGTCCCCTCTAACTAATGAACTTATCCTCTGCAGCAGAGGTAACTCTGTGTCTTCCATTCATGTGGTGGTCCTCATGAGAGCCAGTTTCTTCATAGCGCTTGATGGTTTCTGCAGCTGCACTTGAAGAAACTTTCAAAGTTATTGAAATGTTCCGTATTGACTGACCTTCATGTTTTAAAGTAATGATGGACTGTCGTTTCTCTTTGCTTATTTGAGCTGTTCTTGCCATAATATGGACTTGGTCTTTCACCAAATAGCGCTATCTTCTGTATACCCCCCTACCTTGTCACAACACAACTGATTGGCTCAAACAAATTAACTTTTATGAAGGCACACCTGTTAATTGAAATGCATTCCAGGTGACTACCTCATGAAGCTGGTTGAGAGAATGCCAAGAGTGTGCAAAGCTGTCATCAAGGCAAAGGGTGGCTATTTGAAGAATCTCAAATATAAAATATATTTTGATTTGTTTAACACTTTTTTGGTTACTACATGATTCCATATGTGTTATTTCATAGTTTTGATGTCTTCACTATTATTCTACAATGTAAAAGTAAAGAAAAACCCTTGAATGAGTAGGTGTCCAAACTTTTGACTGGGAGTGTGTGTGTGTGTGTGTGTGTGTGTGTGTGTGTGTGTATATATAGCTGTGGAAAAAAATTAAGAGACCACTGCACAGCATCTCTACATGTATGACGGCCATTCCATTCCAGTGTCTGTTGAATTCCAACACAGGCACACCTCATTCTACTGAATTAGGTACCGATTAGGTGATTACCTGAACCAAATCTTATTTAATGAGGAAAAGTATAAAAACCACTGCTGTGGTCATCACTATCCTCTATCAATAGGACCAGCTGGTTGGTAAAAACAGTGCTAATAGTATTTCAAAAGTAATATTAATCAAAAAATAACTATTGACCATGCCAAAAGAGTTGAAAAGGAAACTTTTGAGTGAGGAAAGGAAGGGTTCAATTCTGGCTTTACTGGCAGAGGGATACAGTGAGCGTCAGGTTGCTTCCATCCTTAAAACTTCAAAGATGGCGGTTCATAAGAACAAGGTCAAGCAGCAGACATTGGGGACAACAAAGCTACAGACCGGCAGAGGGCGAAAACGACTCTCTACTGACCGGGATGACCGCCAACTCATTCATATGTCACTCAACAACTGTAGGATGACATCAAGTGACCTACAAAAAGAATGGCAAACGGGAGCTGGGGTGAAATGCACGGCGAGGACGGTTCGAAACAGGCTCCTAGGGGCAGGGCTGAAGTCGTGCAAAGCTAGAAAAAAGCCCTTCATCAATGAGAAGCAAAGAAGAGCCAGGCTGAGGTTTGCAAAATACCATAAGGATTGGACCGTAGAGGACTGGAGGAAGGTCATCTTCTCTGATGAGTCCAATTTTCAGCTTTGCCCAACACCTGGTCGTCTAATGGTTAGACGGAGACCTGGAGAGGCCTACAAGCCACAGTGTCTTGCACCCACTGTGAAATTTGGTGGAGGATCAGTGATGATCTGGTGGTGCTTCAGCAAGGCTGGAATTGGGAAGATTTGTCTTTGTGAAGGACGCATGAATCATGCCACGTACAAGGTTGTCCTGGAAGAAAACTTGCTTCCTTTTGCTCTGACATTGTTCCCCAACTCTGAGGATTGGTTTTTCCAGCAGGACAATGCGCCATGCCACACAGCCAGGTCAATCAAGGTGTGGATGGAGGACCACCAGATCAAGACCCTGTCATGGCCAGCCCAATCTCCAGACCTGAACCCCATTGAAAACTTCTGGAATGTGATCAAGAGGAAGATGGGTGGTCACAAGCCATCAAACAAAGCCGAGCTGCTTGAATCTTTGCGCCAGGAGTCACCCAACATCAATGTGAAAGACTGGTGGAGAGCATGCCAAGACGTATGAAAGCTGTGATTGAAAATCAGGGTTATTCCACCAAATATTGATTTATGAACTCTTCTTAAGTTAAAACATTAGTATTGTCTTTTTTTTAAATGAACATTAACTTATTTTCTTTGCATTATTCGAGGTCTGACAACACTACATCTTTTTGTTATTTTGACCAGTTGTCATTTTCTGCAAATAAATGCTGTAAATGACAATATTTTTATTTGGAATTTGGAGAAATGTTGTCAGTAGTTTATAGAATAAAACTAAAATGTTATTTTTACCCAAACACATACCTATAAATAGTAAAATATATATATACAGTTGAAGTTGGCAGTTTACATACACTTAGGTTGGAGTCATTAAAACTAGTTTTTCAACCACTCCACAAATTTCTTATTAACAAACTATAGATTTGCCAAGTCGGTTAGGACATCTACTTTGTGCATGACACAAGTAATTTTTCCAACAAATGTTTACAGACAGATTATTTCACTTATAATTCACTGTATCACAATTCCAGTGGGTCAGAAGTTTACATACAATAAGTTGACTGTGCCTTTAAACAGCTTGGAAAATTCCAGAAAGTGATGTCATGCCTTTAGAAGCTTCTGATAGGCTAATGTGAGTCAATTGGAGGTGTACCTGTGGATGTATTTCAAGGCCTACCTTCAAACTCAGTGCCTAATTGCTTGACATCATGGGGAAATCAAAGACCTCAGAAAAAAAATTGTAGACCTCCACAAGTCTGGTTCATACTTGGAAGCAATTTCCAAACGCCTGAAGGTACCACGTTCATCTGTACAAACAATAGTATGCAAGTATAAACACTATGGGACCACGCAGCCTTCATACCGCTCAGGAAGGAGACGCATTCTGTCTCCTAGAGATGAACGTACTTTGGTGCGAAAAGTGCAAATCAATCCCAGAACAACAGCAAAGGGCCTTGTGAAGATGCTGGAGGAAACAGGTACAAAAGTATCTATATCCACAGTAAAATTAGTCATATATCGACATAACCTGAAAGGCCGCTCAGCAAGGAAGAAGCCACTGCTCCAAAACCGCCATAAAAAAGCCAGACTACAGTTTGCAACTGCACATGGGGACAAAGATTGTACTTTTTGGAGAAATGTCCTCTGGTCTGATGAAACACAAATACAACTGTTTGGCCATAATGACCATCATTATGTTTGGAGGAAAAAGGGGGACGCTTGCAAGCTGAAGAACACCATCCCAACCGTGAAGCATGGGGGTGGCAGCATCATGCTGTGGGGGTGCTTTGCTGCAGGAGGGACTGGTGCACTTCACAAAATAAATGGCATCATGAGGAAGGAAAATTATGTGGAAATATTGAAGCAATATCTCAAGACATCAGTCAGGAAGTTAAAGCTTGGTCCCAAATGGGTCTTCCAAATGGACAAAGAACCCAAGCATACTTCCAAAATTGTGGCAAAATGGCTTAAGGACAACAAAGTCAAGGTATTGAAGTGGCCATCACAAAGCCCTGACCTCAATCCTATAGAAAATGTGTGGGCAGAACTGAAAAAGCGTGTGTGAGCAAGGAGGCCTACAAACCTGACTCAGTTACACCAGCTCTGTCAGGAGGAATGGGCCAAAATTCACCCAACTTATTGTGGGAAGCTTGTGGAAAGCTACCCGAAACGTTTGACCCAAGGTAAACAATTTAAAGGCAATGCTACCAAATACTAATTGAGTGTATGTAAACTTCTGACCCACTGGGAATGTGATGAAAGAAATAAAAGCTGAAATAAATCATTCTCTCTACTATTATTCTGGCATTTCACATTCTTAAAATAAAGTGGTGATCCTAACTGACCTAAGACAGGGAATTTTTACTTGGATTAAATGTCAGGAATTGTGAAAAACTGAGTTTAAATATATTTGGCTAAGGTGTATGTAAACTTCCGACTTCATCTGTATATAGTAACCCGGACAACGCTGGGCCAATTGTGCGGTTGTGACACAGCCTGGGATCTAACCCGGGTCTGTAATGACCTTAGACCGCTGCGCCACTCAAATGTGTGCAGACTCGTTACAACTTCAGCTTTAAGCACAAAGTGATTTAGTCCATATTTGACCAAGAGAAAGTGGTTTTGTTACAATTCTATTAAATTATTTAGTATTTTTTCATGTTGAGAGTTCTAAATCCAGCTGAGAATATCACAGTGAGATGAAACCACAATGGCTGGACTTGCTAGACTGTCACTGTTCATATGCCGTCTTCCAGGCTGGGCTCACTTGCTTAGAGGAAGAGAAAATTGATTATTTGTCTGGATAGGCCAGAAAATGTGACATGTCACTCCCTATGCAAATGTTGGGTCTGAAACCTGACATTCAAGCCAGCTCTGCTGAGAGAGGGGAAACGGAGAGCAGACAGATGGGGCTTTCTGGCACTATAAGGTATGGGACCCTACGACGTTCACAAGCGCTTTGTTCACCAAAATGTCAGACGGAACCAGTCCAGAACAGCTCAAAGTCCCCCATATGGGAGACTTAACATCTAAGAGGTTAAAGACATTAATCTATTCTAGGCATGTGGTAATGCACTTTTCCTTTGTGCTGCTCAGTGTTCATTGTTTCTTTTTCATTCCTTTCTCATCCCTGTGTTGTAGTCTACAGTAGGTTTCATCATTCTTAACATGCCTCTTTTTGATAATAGCTCTCCATATCTGTTACTGAAAGACAGTTAAAGAAACCAAGGAACCTTTACAGACATAGAGAATTACTTTATCTCTGCAGAGCGTTGGGCCAGTAACCAAAAGGTGGCTGGTTCGAATACCCAAGCCGACAAGGTGAAAACGTAACCCTAATTTGCTCCACGGACACGGTACTACTATGGCTGACCCTGTAAAATATATAATGTCACTGCACCTATCTGGTGTATGTGACAATAAAACTATTGTTTCCACACTTACACTATTTGATAATGGACCTTAACATGGTGTCAGATCTGTGAGCTTCCTCCTGGCACTATCAGTGACATCATTAATGAACACAACCTGACCGTGCACTGGACTGAGAAACACACTCACAGAGACTGCGCTCTGTACACAGGTGAAATAATGTTTATGTGCTTATGCACGTTCTGGGTGTTGTACATGCTCTTGTCTTTTTTTATGTTAACATGTCTGCGATGGGTATATAATGTTTGAGCAAGACTTCAGTCCTTGCTCTCTGCTTCCCTCTAGCCTCACCTCACAGTATTGTCTCCATCTTTCCCAGGTCGGTCTGAGAGTTGGTGCAGGGATTCTGCCACTGACCAGGAGCTCTTCAGGTACAGTTGTGTGTGTGTGTATGAATACAGAATATCAGAGCTTAAGAAGACTCAGGTTGGTATATCAGACTTTCTGTTTACTGAATGGGAAAAACACCTCAGCATCGTTTTTGTCTCTGGTAGGAGTGAGCTGTCTGTGGAAAAGACCTCTGTGTTGCAGTCTGAATTACAGTCCTGCAACCAACTGCTGGAGCTGGAGCCTCAGAACAAATGTAAGTACACACTTTGAGTGTAGTGTGTATATTTGGGTTTGTTATTTATCTATCACTATTGGAAACTTATCATAAAATGTATGACAATTGTAATTTCTCGCTTTCTCAGGGTGCTTGCTGACCATCATTCTGCTCATGAGGGCACTAGATCCCCTAGGATACGAGAGAGAGACCCTTTCTCACTTCCAGACTCTTAAAGTTAGTGCTTTACAGGGCTATTACATAGTGGTGTACACTAATACATGATAGATGTGTTTTCTATCACTGCTCTGTGTCTCTCTCACACAGGAGGTGGACTCCATGCGCTCTGCGTATTACGGTGACCTGTGCAGTAAGTTCATGATCGAGAACACCATTCTCAAGATGGAGTACGCTGAGGTCCGGGTCTTCAGTCTCTCTGACAAGGTTAGTGCTGTCTGTTCCTTTCTGTATCTGTCTATCCTTGTCCATCCATCCCCATTCTCTTTGTGGCTGTAAGTCCATCTAATGTCTTTCACCCTCACCTTAACAGAACCTGACCACGTTATGCCACCTGGACCAGCTGCTATTGGTCACTCATATCAATCTATCATGCAATCAGCTGCTGAGGCTGCCTCCTCAGTTTGCCATGCTGCAGTGCCTCGAGGTATAGTACTTAAAAAACATTTTATGTTATGCTCAAAATAACATTTATTCCTGTTCTGTACTGTAGTTTTTGTACTTAATATTTTGATGTGTCTGTCTGCCAATATGGCCTTCTATTTCCCAGGTATTGGAGGCTGATGACAACGCTATTGCGAATTTGGATGGACTGTACCATCTCCCCAAGTTGCAAGAAGTGTCCTTGAAGAACAACCGTATCCTTGCCTTTCTCTTTAGATCAGTTTTATTGTGGTAATACATTACAATGTTTATAATACTGTTAGAGATTTTGTAATTTTCTTTGACCATAATATGCAGAAATATCCAAACTCTCTGACCTTCAACTCCTGACTTCCTGCCCAAAGCTGACCTGCCTTGATCTCCGTGGCAACCCTGTCACCCAGATTGCCAACATTCAATCCGAGTTGGCCGAGCTACTGCCCTCAGTCACTGATCTCCTGATCTGATTGGACAAATGGCAGGGCTCATTCTAAGTTTCCCTTAGACACAGATCTAGGATCGGCTTATCACCCCCAAAAAATAACCATTCTAGGCGGGAAACGGAAAACTGACATTAGATCAGTGTCTACGGGCAACTTCCCCCTATTTCCGGAGTACTACCATCAGCAGCATTTGTTTGTGTGTGTCCATGTTTGTGGGTATGCATGTATGTGAGAAGCAGAGGGGTGTTTAAGTGTTTTGTCTCCTTTCCACTATGTATTCCTCTTGTGTGGGGACATTGATTCACAGCGACCCCCACTCATTTTAATGCCTGATAACATTGGACCTCACTTAAACATTCTCACAAACCTGTGTGTTTATTATGTGTATGTACAGTTTGTTCGTGTGTGTGCGCTCTATCTCTCTCATACAGGTCAAGACACCAATCTGCATGCTGATTCACTGATAGAGGGTAATATTACGAACTGTGTATGAGTGAGCATGGTGAGAATGTGGCTTTTAGTAAGCACTGAAAACCGCTTCTGTATGGTGGTTGCAGTAGGACATTGATCAGAAGAATATTAAAAAAAATACTTATCTGTGGTTGTATTTTTGAAACGGTTGTGCAAAAAAGTTTATGAAATTAATCTATACTGTTAAACAACTGTAAATGACTATTCCACCAATAAAACAGCACATGCGGTGTCACTGCCTCCCATAGAGTCTCCTGAGTGTTTCTGTGGTGTGGTGAGGGAGGTTGTCAGGACTCGGATTTTCCTTCTGTTGGGTGGCTCAACCGTAACCACACGTTACTTGTCCCCATGATGAAATCCGGGAGGGGATTGTGGATCTGTCTCCGTTTGTTCGTACGTTAGTCACATGCGATATCTGACAGCACTGGCCCGATTTTGAATGATGCGTCTTGCCATAGCGTTCCGGCATTTACAAAATTACACTGATTGGCCCAAGGCGGAGGCTATAGTAATTAACTGAAATGTGTTAGTCATACGCAATATTTCAATTGGCCCAAGGGGGGGGGGGGCTGCATCATTCATGGGCGACGACATGTTCACTGTTGCCTTGTTATAAATGAGCTTGGTGTGTGTGTGTGTCTGTGACGCCAGAGTAGATTAACATGAATGGATGAACAAAATTCAGTACATTTTATTCATGCTCGATTTGGCATGAAAGGATCCCACTAATTAAAATCTGTGCACTTGCGTCATCGTTGTCCTCCGCCTCTTACACAAGCAGGTGTTGTCACTTGTCTTGCTGTGATATTGGGTGTACAGGGTGGTTCCAGAAAAAGGATTGGATAGTGGTTTAGTGACAAAGACCTTTGATTGTGAAATATTAACAGGTGCAGTTTGAGACTCACAAAGGAATGTATGGTTTGACCCTGTTTTACAAAAGAATTGCCATGATTAGTCATAAGAAACAACACACAGAGGATGTGTAAATTAGCTGTTTCATGCCTTGGTGACCCCACCCCTTTTGCCACTCCTTTCCTGCGCCACTACACCCAGGCTGTCACAATCGGCCATGACCGGGAGCCCCATAAGACTGCGCCCAATTGGCCCAGCGCTGTCCAGGGTACGGGAGGGTTTGGCCTTTCCTTGGCTCATCATGCTCTAGCGACTCCTTGGGCCGGGAGCCTGCAAGCTGACGCCGGTCGTCAGTCGAACAGTTTTTCCTCCGACACATTGGTGTGGCTGACTTCTGGGTTAAGCGAGCAGCGTGATAAAAAGTAGGCGGCCAGGCGGGTCATGTTTCGGAGGACACATGACTCGACCTTCGCCTCTCCGGAGCCCATTGAGGAGTTGCAGAGAGCCAAGTGACCTAATTCGGGAAGAAAACGGGGAAAAAATACGCTTTTGGCCATACCGCCGCCTAGTTAGTACTGGGACGGGAGACCGCCTGGGAAGGTGAAAAATCTGTCGATGTGCCCTTGAGCAAGGCACTTAACCCTAATTGCTCCTGTAAGTCCCTCTGGATAAGAGCGTCTGCTAAATGACTAAAATGTAAAATGTAAATGTAATACCAGCTGCCATAAGCTCAACAAAAAAATAAAAAAAATAATGTAGAACAACCTTTCCCATGAAGCACTGTAAATATGTGAGTGGGATAAAATGAGTGACAGACAGGTGAACGGGACAACAGGTGATTTAAGGTGCGTTGTATGTTATTGGGCTTGCGCAATATGAGAGACAGTTTGTGAGTATTATGTAAGCACCAGTGGGGACCTGTCATTCAGGGCAGGTTTGCAAACAATGTACAAAAATTAAAATAATTATTGAGTTAATAAAGCCTCATACAAACATGGTCTCTTTTCTGCTTTCTTGAGTAAGGCAGCTCCAAAATGCAGGTGTTTCAGCCTAGCTCAGTGCTTTTCACATACGGAGCGTAGTGGTTAGTAATGATCTCTAGTTGCACTGTGATTGGCTCAGTGTTCTGTCACTCATGGGGACACTAGTCACCGCAAAATGTATGGGGAGAGCTCAAAAATGCAAGCCCCTTGGGTGCTGCCAAAGAGTTACATTAGAAGTGCCCATCCAAGAAGGCTCAAGGTCATTGGCCACAGATAAAATGACTTCAAATCACGTTATATCTACCGTAGCTTTGATTGGACTGATCATGTCAACATAAGTCTTTCAAAGCAAGCTAGCAATCAAATCCTTTTCAATCCTTCTAATATGAAGAGAAATTATGAAGAGACATTATTGATAAAATGTATTGGTGCTCATCGGACATTGGACATAAACATTACACAACAAGTTGGAAATCACAAATTCAACAATGAGTGGTTTGGAAGGAATCAGTGTCTAACTGCAAGCATTGAAAAGCAATCATTAGCCTGCTATTCAGTGGGAGTGTGTGTGTGGTCCAAGTCTGGTTTAAGGGTCTCTTTTCCAAGTTTAAAAGGATAAACATTCAACATTGGCCATGCTGTCAATCCAGCATGACTTCTGCAGCGTTCAAAACAACTGGAAACTCAGAACTGGGAAATCTCAGACTTCAGAGAGTTCAAGACAACTGGGAACTCAGAAAACTGGGAAAATACAACTGGGAAAATTCGTTTTGAATGGTCATCCAACTCAGAATTCCAAGTCGGGACCTCGGGCCTCTTTCTAGAGCTCCGACCTGAAGATCACTGACGTCATGATTCATCCTTGTTTTTTTCCGACTTCCCAGTTGGCTTGAAAGCAACATAAATCCAGAGAATGCCAAACTTTGATGACAAAATTTGCCCACGAAGGACCGCGGCGCCACCTTCCTGTTCAAGTCAGCACAGCACAACAAGGTGAGTCCAAAAATGTATTGTATGCTGCTGCATAAATGATGTAATATGCCATGGAGATATGTATATTGTAGCTAAGAAAGTAATACTAAGTGTATGTTGTGTAGTAAGCTGTTAGTAGCCCATGTGCCTCACCCTAATAATTTGGTCCCTTTTCCCCTCATAACTTAGCCTACTGTTCTGACTTGGTGGTGCACATGTAGCCTATAGCCTGTTTTAGAGAAATGTAATCATTGAATATTGTAAGAGCTTTCATTGTCTGCTTATATGCCCCCTTTATTTATCCTCGGTTCTGACTTGGTGTCCCGGGAGAATACTGTAAGAACAGCCCATGTTCTGAATTCTGTCGCTGTACATTTAAAAAGTGCTGAACAAATAGTTATATTGACTACGTCCGTCCTAGCTCGCTCATTAATGTCTTCATCGAAATTACGGATTGCCTCTTGTCTGCTCGTCGTCCCCTTATGCCATAGTTTGTACATCTCAATTGTCAGTAGATACCACATTTGTTTAAGTACGTCAGCCATATCAGCTATGTTTTTTTAAAAGGCAGTAAATGAGGCTGAATGAACTGTTTCGCTGCCAGACAAAGCTCCGCTGATAGCCAGGTGTAGCAGTGGTAAGGTGTTGGGACTGCTGTTGGGACGCAGCTGTTGGGACAGCTTTATGTAGGCCCTAACAGTTTGGAACTGGGAAATATCAGACTTCAGTGAGTTCAAGACAACTGGGAACTTGGAAAACTGGGAAAATACGACTGGGAAAATACATTTTGAACGGTCATCCAACTCAGAATTCCAAGTCGGGAACTCGGGCCTCTTTCTAGAGCTCCGACCTGAAGATCACTGACGTCATGATTCAACCTTGTTTTTTTTAGGCTGAATGAACTGTTTCGCTGCCAGACAATGCTCAGCTGATAGCCAGGTGTAGCAGTGGTAAGGTGTTGGGACTGCTGTTGGGACTCTGCTGTTGGGACAGCTTTATGTAGGCCCTAACAGTTTGTGGGCACCGTTTGTCACCGTTATAGTGCAACTAATGTATTGTTTAGTGTTGTGTAGTGTAGTGGCTTTGCCAGCGTGCATCTAAAAAAAAATGGTGGAGTTTGCCCCACAAGATTTACATGCTAAGATCGCCACTAGTAAGAACTGAGGCCCCATTGGTGAAAAGGATAAGACCGTAATTTGCCGAACAGGTTGCTCATCCGGTTAAGGACATATTGATATACAGTGAGGGAAAAAAGTATTTTGCAGACGCTCTTATCCAGAATGACTTACAGTAGTAAGTGCATACATTTTCATTCAGTGAGGGAAAAAAGTATTTGATCCCCTGCTGATTTTGTACATTTGCCCACTGACAAAGAAATGATCAGTCTATAATTTTAATGGTAGGTTTATTTGAACAGTGAGAGACAGAATAACAACAAAAAAATCCAGAAAAATGCATGTCAAAAATGTTATAAATTGATTTGCATTTTAATGAGGGAAATAAGTATTTGACCCCCTCTCAATCAGAAAGATTTCTGGCTCCCAGGTGTCTTTTATACAGGTAACGAGCTGAGATTAGGAGCACACTCTTAAAGGGAGTGCTCCTAATCTCAGCTTGTTACCTGTATAAAAGACACCTGTCCACAGAAGCAATCAATCAATCAGATTCCAAACTCTCCACCATGGCCAAGACCAAAGAGCTCTCCAAGGATGTCAGGGACAAGATTGTAGACCTACACTTGGCTGGAATGGGCTACAAGACCATCGCCAAGCAGCTTGGTGAGAAGGTGACAACAGTTGGTGCGATTTATTCGCAAATGGAAGAAACACAAAATAACTGTCAATCTCCCTCTGCGTCATTTTGCGTATCAGTTTATAAACACTATCCCATGGAATCAGTACGTCAAAAATCTCTTCACAACCATTTTGCAATCTATATGGGACGGCTGTCAATCCTTTGGTCCTTAAATGAAACTGGTATACTTTTTTATTTATCACAATTTTCTTTAACCAATTATGTTCTTTAATGCAGGGCCGACAGACAAGTTCCTTACTTTTTCTCCCTTCCTCTTCCATTTTTGCGGTAATGCTGCAATTATTTGGTTGTCATTTTGGGTAGAGCAGACATTTCCATATGTTTTTGTTAGCTGCATGTGCGACATAGCTCCACCAGTCCTACCTATGATA